CGCGGCTTGCCCTGTTTGCGATAAGATTGCCAAACCTCGATGTTAAAGTCTCTGTTGTCAGGTTCCCACCCTCAACAGAGAGATTGGGCATATGAAGGTTTCATGACCTATTGAAGCGTAACAGGAACAGATAGCAAGTAAAAACGAAGACGTACTTAAATTCAGGTAATATCGTTTTGTTGGCTTAGATTGATGTTTACAGTTTTGGAATTCTCTTCTGTGAAATGTGTACCGGGGAACTGCCAGAACCTGAAAAGCGGGAAGAACAAGCGAGACTGGTACCTAACAAAAAGTTTGGAGGGCTGATACTGTGGTGTATTGAAGAAGATCCAGAAATGAGACCCAGCATGGAAGAGGTTATTGAGAAGCTGGAGCAGTTAAATAACAATTCTTAATGGTGACTGCTGGCAATAGTTATAGAACAACGACAGTTGGAATTTTCAAGGCAGAGAACTCAGTACACGCTAACATTATGTTAACATTATAAAATAGCTTGATTAATACTTGTTATACAAGCCGCATATTTTTCCTGTACAGCTAAGTCTGAGAAAACAGACGAAATTGCGACGCCTCTATTAGTTTCCCCGCGAATGACAACTGAGGAACAAGCGCAGAAATACGCACGTCAACCGGAAGGAGGGACTTTTTGCACTCTTCGGCCGTCATTTTGAACAAACCCTTGGGCAAATCGTCTCTATAAGAGTGAGGACACTTAACCATACAAATATAGTGGCGTCAAGGCATTAAAAGAGAAAAAACGTTCACTTCCGGTTGACGTGCGTTGCTTAAAAACGTTGCTGCTTAAACTCTCAATTACCCAGATCTGGGTAGTAATATTCCGATTGGTCGTACCGCGACGGAAATTCACTTCAACCCATCAGAAGCACTACTCAGAAATGGGTGGTGACACGTCATCAGTGTGGAGTTTCTTCGATCGTTCCTCAGACGTCATTTCGCGGCGAAACCAGTGGTTGCGCCGCGAAATGTCGGCTGTTTTCTCAGGTTATGTACTGATCTACACTGTACGTGATAGATATTTATAGTTTAAAATACAATTTACATGTTACTTAATGTATTTGTTGTTAAGAAAATAGTTTACAGAGTAGTTATTGACTGAGGTATTTGTAGTGAAAAGATAATTGAAGCTTAAGTGCCCATAACGACTTTTTTTCTTGTCTCATCCGAATATACACGTCAAGCAATGATGTTCCCTAAGAAATTTGTCGATTCCGACGAAACGCGATTTTTTTCTTATGATTTTTTTAACTCTTCGAAATTTGCTGCCATTTAGTTCCACCGTTCGCATTAGTCTTCTGTCGGTCGGACCGGAGCAGTGACGTAGTCGTGACGTAGGTTCAGGAAGTCTAGCTTATTCCTCTCAAGCCAAGTTAACTTTACAGTCATATTCTCAATGTCCTTGTCTTTGCATGGAAGCAAGGATTGAGGTGAACTTCTTTATTCACAAATCTTCCTACTTTTCACGCGCAAATCGTGAGCTAACCAGCTCTTGAACATGTAAAAACAGAAAGGTTTGTAACAAAGCAGGGTCACTACCATCCTCGCTTCTATTGAAAGGCCAGGCCACTGAGCACACAAATGAAAACTGGTCTATTCGTTGGTCTATTCGCCATTTACGCATCTCCCATAATATACCTTGTTTGACGCCAGCAATTTACATAAGCATTGTGTTCAATTTCTCTTGGGGCGACTGCAATACCCAGAAATTTAAAATAAAAGTTGTGCATTTTTTTTTTGGGGGGGGGGGATGGGGGAAGGGGAAGAGGAACTCTTAATAGTCGTTAGGTACTGAAGTGGAGAATTAAATTTGCCTATTAGTTAGGTATTTGCAGTTATGAAAAAAAGTTACGTGTTGTAATAAATATTACTCAAATAAGAATACAATTTACATAGAAGTTAAAATTTGTTTTAATGATTAAAGTATACATAGTAATTATAAAGTAGTTAAGCATTTGTATACATCTAAGAATTGTGTAGTGTTTGTGTAAGATATTTTTTTGGATTTACGTACAACTGTAGATAGATCGGTTTTTATTTATGTGTGAAGTGTCTGATAAAGCATTCATAGTTTCAAAAATTACGCTTTTCAAAGAAAATTAGTTTAAATGAAGTGCTGTAGAACGAAATGCAAATAGTTACTCCGGGTAATCACAAACGACGCGGACAATTTTTTGAAGAAATGAGACCCGGAAATACGATACATAGCTGCTACTCAGTCATACGCGGGAAAATATGAACGAAGGAACGAATGGTATCCACTTTTTTCTGGTTGGTCGAGTGCTGGGCATTTTTGAACCTATCACAAGACGAACTTGCTCAAGGAAACAGATGGCCGTTAACTGAAAAGTGTTCTGAGTCGCAGCGTCCAAAACGTTTTTTTATTTTTGTAATATATTTTCATAAGTATAGAAAGCATAGTTTGTTATAAGAAATTACATAATTTTATATTTTACAGTCTACATTGTGTAATTAAATTTTACTTTTAAACTTGTTAACCGTGTTTAATATTTTTTTTTAGGCACTAACTCCGTCCTTTGTAAAACAGGTTTCAACTTAAACAGTCTCACTCTATTACATACTCTCGCTATCAAGGTTTTTTGGTCCACACATTAAACTTTTTCAGTTTTCAAAAATAACTCAATCGTTAATACACTTAGGAAGAGAAAGGTCAAGAAGGTCTTCGAGAAGTCTGCAAATTTCGCAAAAATCGCAAAAGTAAGAAGAATTTTTCTTGCTGTGTGAAACGATTGAGCAACAAATAGCAAGAACAGCATATCTGTATCCGAAGATAACATTCTATTGCCTATAGCAGTTTCATTACATTCATCCTTGATTTATACACCCCTGGATTATGAAATATAACAGTTCAACGACCCCTATTGGAATACCACTTGGAGGGCTTTTCGCCAATGTCCTGTACAGCTTTCTCAATTCTGATTGGATTGGGGCAGCAGATTATAATGACGACTACTACAAGGACCCTTGCCTTGTAATTGGCATAGTTTTATTTGCGGCAGGCTTTATCATCAATCGCTACGCAGACTTATTACTTCGCAAGCTAAGAACAAACGATAGTGAAGGTTACTCCATTCCTCATGGCTGTTTATTTGAAGTCATATCATACCCTAATTATTTTGGTGTAATGCTGGAATGGTTTGGTTGGGCTTTGGGAACTTGATCCCTACGCGGGTTATTCTGGTTTTTATTCAGCAGTGCAACATTTGTTCCTTCGGTTGTTTTGGTCATTAAAAACAACTCTTTTGCCCCCAATTAGTCAGCTATGGAGACATGATCCCAACGGAATGTATAAGATTCTGGAGAGCTGCTCACCCTCCGCTCCTGTTATGCGACATTTTGCCCCAATATTGGGTTAGGGGAGGGGTAGGTGGGGTGTGTCCCAGAATCTTATACTGTTTTACTGACACACTTTTGACCCACAAGTGTTTCCACAAAATCCTCAAATAAAACCTCTTCAGCAGGATTTTTCCACGATGCTAATTTAGTTTAGTTTTCTTCGTTTTCGAGGCCCAGGAATCATAAAAATTGGGATTTTGCTGGTAAGAGACCCAAGGATGGAGTACCTGATCGAAGTTTAGGCATAGCGTTTCTGCTGAGGATTTGAAACCTTGTAATTGTTGAGGACCAAAAAATCTTCACCAAGTGAGCAGGTGCCCATTAAACTGAAACTTCCTCTCGACTGAAAATGTTGCATTTATTGTTTGTGTGCAGTGGACAGCCAAGAGATGTCCCTAAACGTGTGGTGTGCATGCAAAGTTGTTGCTTTGGTGACAAGTTAGATTTGACGTAATGTTTTTTTTTTCTACTCAGTCTGTCGAGTCGAGTGGTTCCCACTGGTTTTGTAACCCTTATCTTGAAACTGTTTTTGGCTTTACTGGTAAATTTTTGCCGAAATTCTGGCCATCGAGTTGAAAAAAAAGGGTTTGACATGCAGTTCTTCACAAAACTTTACGTGCACGTACAATACTTGTTTTTTGATTGGTTAACAAAAAACAGACGATACCTAATTAGGAAAATCTTTGCTGCCAATATTCATTGGCGCTAAAAATATGAAGCAAACGCCACGTTGACAGAGAAAACTTTGTCATTCGGAGAAAAGAAAGTTTAAACTGAACGAACTGAGACCGTCCTGCTCTGGTAAGCTTCTTGTTATCTCTGTTGTATCACAGTGCTTTCAGCTTTAAGGTTTCTTATAATTATTGATGATGATTTTGAAAACCCTGGGTAAAGTTTTACTTTGAGCTGTATCAAAAGACCAAAAATTAACTCCTGTATTAAAATGGAAAATCTTTACAATCATGATTTTGCCAAGCAAACATTCATCAAGTTTCGTTTACAACGTATTCACAAGAGTAAAATGTCACGACTTTGCAAGTTTTTCTTTTCCGACCAAATAAACTAACCCATTTTTCCACCTTTACTGAAATGGTTTACTCCCCCAAGACCTTCTTAAAGAATTTATTTGAAATGTTAATTAACCTTACAAGTCCCAAATGGCTTGCCTAGAGGTGTATGTACTAAACAATCTTTGTTGGCTTGCTACATAGACACGTGCAGTAAGAAAATCTAATCAGAAATTATTATTCAAATCAAAACGTTGCTCCGCGCTACATTCAAAAATTGGTAACTTCAGTTATGAGAGATGGCGAAGGTTGCCGTCACAAAGGAAAAAAGACGCTCTCGTTTAAACTGGCAAGCCGTCTTTCTCAGCTTCACAAAGATAGTTAACTACGAACGAAGCAGTCTGGGATGTTAAAACCTCTGAGGGCACCAGCTAAATTATGCTTATTAAGTTTATCGTCTGTACGGTTGAAATTTGTGTTCCGATGAGTCCAACCACGTTAGATTAAGTTATTTCGTTGTCAAATGTCCTTTATTGAAACTAATTTGTTCTCAGAGGAGAAGTAGCGAGTAGAAACGAAGCCAAATGCAAACTCAGCAAAATTTATCTACAGTTTATTATTTTAAAAGCTCTGTGTAGTTCGCACATGGTCGAACACGTTGCCGTCTAAAATACAAGCAAACCTCAGTGGAGTCTTCGGGATAAAGAAAGTAACCTAGCGAATCATATTTTGCAGACAGACAGTAATTCGCCATAAAAAAACGACAAATTTGCCAATAAAAGCTGTAACGGCAAGCCTCAAAGTTTGCAGAAGGCTTTATTCTGAAATTTTTCCCCCAACAATTCCAACAAACATATATACTCAAAAGAATAAAGAAAAAGTACCTTGCACCTAAACTTAATTCAGTAAGGATAGGAAAATGCGACTTTGTACTTGGTTTTCAAATGGACAATTTCGAACAACTCTTTTTGTAAACTCGCTACTTGAGTTTTCGCTTCCGGAAAAATTTCCGTATAACCCCATACATTAATTATGCATTCTGTGTCATTAATTATGCATCCGCCTTATTGTCTTCTAAGACAATAGTGAATTCCCCAGAGTATTGCATATGTACATCGGTAATGAATACTTACTGCATTAATAAAAGAGGATTTCAATTTCTGTCCTTTTTTCATCTTTTTCTACTCGTCTCTTTCTCTTTTTTCCCCTCTCATTCACCTACCACTCTCTCCATTGTCCCCCGGTTTCCTTTTTCCTTTTTTATTCGGTAGTCGGCGAGATTTGAACCAACGCTTCCCTGTAGCTCTGACGTACCTGTCTCTCTGCTATACCACTAGACCACGACGATTTGTTGAGATTCCCTGGTCAAAAAATTGATATCTTTTTGTGTGCTCAAGTTCAAATATACATAACAAAAGAACTGACAGGGGCACCCAATTGATCTGTTCCTCAAAATATCTGTTCTTCAGGCACATTTTTGCTGGCTGGGAGATGTGGAAGAAATAATAGTCCTTGGAAGGAAAGTGTTGCTGGGAAAAAGATAATTCAGGGTGTCAGAGGAGATTTGAAGTCTAGAATAGCTGCCACGGGTTACTTGTATCGATTACTTACCACTCAAGATCTGAATTGTGCCCTATGAAACTTCCTAGTAAGTCAGGTTGCAGGTTGTAAGGTTGCTGGCTGGGAACTCTTAGCTTCCATCAGTCTTGCTGGGAGTGAGGAACAGATAATTTTTTCCAGCAATTTCCCAAAATGCTTAAAATAGTCTCAGAAAACTTTAATCACGCTTTGTTGTTGTTTTTAGGTCCTTTTCTCAAAATTTCCCGTTGGGTGCCCCTGAACTGAAATGTGTATTAATGTAAATTATTCACGCTTTTGCTTGTATCATATCCACGAAAACATGCATCTCTTCAGGCAATAACAAGCACGCACAAGCTTCACAAACACTCCTCTCTTGTATTACACTTGTCACGGACTTGGTCAACTTTCATGTTTAGTATGGCTCAATTAAATTTTTAAAACGCTCTCCAGAATACTGGTGGATCATGATCGCAGCCGGTACATAGAGTGGCGTAAGGAAAACATAAGCTGCCGTCACAACTTCTGTTAACTGTGCAAGAGCTTTGGGAGCGGACTTAAATGAAAGCTGCTTCACTCAGTTTCCTAACCCTCATAACTAAACTTCAGGGTCATTCGGCGTTTTGCAAAAATGCCCCGGCAGTTGTCCAAGAAGAACAGGAATAACGAAACTCATTTTGGCCATCATTCGCGCTCAAATTTTGGAGGTGTACCGACGTGCCTGTGAGCGACGAGTATGGGTCTTATGAATATCTACAAGAGGAGGGCTAGGAACAGCCTAAGCTTCGTAAAATACACCCAGCTGACACAGGTGCCGACACGCAGTGCATCGCAAGTAGATGGAGGGGTAAAGCATGGTTTGCCTTGACACAAACATTCAAAGCAACTACTGGCAGGAGTTTTAAATATGTGGCATAGGCATGCATTACGGTGAAGTTCTCTTTGGAAGCATAGTAAATCATATCGTCGAACTTTATAATGACATTGGGAACGACGCATAAAGGGCTAAATAAAACAGACAGATCAGACGTATGAGGAGGCGGTAGAAACTCGACAATATAGTTCAGGAAAAAAAGCAACTCTGACGAATAAGGTAGACTTTTATTTTACTTTAGTTGTTTATTAAACCCTGTGTTACGATCGATGGATAGTTTACTCAACGCTACTAATTACATTGATTATCGCTATCTTTGGGATCGTTATAATTAAAGTTAGGTTTCGGAAAGCGAAAATAGTCCGAAATTTGTTCCAAAAAGTTGTTATTTTAGTGCAAAAAGCGTCAAAATTAGCGCGTTTCAAAAAAGACTACCAGATCCAAGCCAAGTACAGGAAAGGTAAAATATGTTTACGCAAGCATTCTGAAAGGAAATGAAATAAAAACCTTTGATTATCATTTCAAGTCACGACTTTCACTCTAATAGTGATCGTATTGGAAGCTCTACAAAGATAATTAAATGTCACGTTTAAATGGAATACAAATCCAAGTGGCCATATCCGAAACAACAGTTTGACTACCGCGTAGATAGACTAAAACTCAAAGGAGGAGCATCCAAGGATTAAAAGAGATTGTTCCATGCAAAGATAATTAAATGTCACGTTTAAATGGAATACAAATCCAAGTTCCTGAGAAACATTTCATTTAGGCCAGAGAATTACTGATAGAAGTCAGGGAGCGGAAAAGCAACCCCAAAGTCTCGTCTCTTTGGCTATTACTTAGAAAGCCGTGATTTGAACGAAACACCTGGCAGATCATAGGTAAGTACAGAAGAAAAATACCAACACGTTCAACCCAACCTTGCCAAAAAAAAAAACAGGAAAGGAAACTGATGGTAAAAGAACTCACTATGCGCATTTGCTAAAGTTGTGAACTTCCAGGGCACTACTTAAATTGCAAATTGCAAAATAGACAACAGAAGGAGGCTATGCTGGCTACATGCAGCTGTTAATTCTGGAGACAAATCGTAATATTAAAACACTTCTTCACTTTATTAAAACACTTCTTCTCCTTCAATAGACATCTCATGATCCATGAAATTTGCTTAATTTACGTTCTAATTCGCTTCGCTCAAACTAACGTAAATCATTTTACCCTTAAATTCCCGTAATACGAACAAATCACACGAGAAATATGGTAGGATGCGCAAGCGGATCCAAAACACTTTATTATAAGATAGATAGGTACTAATACAGAGTGGATTGCAAAAAAGAAATTATTGTTGTTGTTCTTTTTTTAAAATTCTTTACATACCACTCCATCCAGAAATTAATATACGCTCGGTAATACATTACAGACATAAATACTTAGTTACTTGTAACCTGTTTTCAAGGCTTTCTTCAACATATATATCCTCGGCAGAATCAGATTTACATCTACCAAGTATTTTAAGAAGTCTTCCTGGAATCGATTTACTACTGTTACGTACCGCAGATGTAATACCACCGGATCTTAAAGTAGCTATAAAGACCATAATCATTAGGGTTGTAACCCAGCTGACTTAAGGTATCCCTTACGATATCTCTACAAGTAGTGTAAGAAATCTTTCCACTTCTCAGGGTATAGCTAGAACTACTACGGTGAAAAACAGTTGGTCTAAATAAAGGAAGAGGACTACATAAGTCAATACCAGATAAATCTGAAAACCGTTGTAAAACACTAACAGGACAGTACTTAGACCTGGATGCACTAGTTAAGACGAAATTCCCTTCGCTATAAACATCTGTCTTACTACGAGGTACAAAGATTCTTATATAATCGCTGTGAAATTCAATATGTTTAGGAACGATATTGCATAATTCGTCGTAACGAAAACATCCTGCAAAAGCTAAAGAGCCTAACGCAGCGATGCGAAGATTCTTTAAATTAGCATCTTTCTTGTCGTGAAAATCTAAAATACTCCTTATGATGTCTGTGGTAATAAGCTTCTTTTTCATAACTGGCTGTGATTTCTGGCGTGCGTTTAGCAGATTCGATAATGTTCCTGCAAAATTCACTATCCAAAGGATTACGATCCAAACTAGGGGCAAAAGAATGTAACCATTTAAGGGCAGCATGGGCTATAAAATTACTGAGGAACTAGAGGTGCTAGACTGCTGAACTTCAAATAAATATAGAGAAACAACAATAAGAGGAAAAGATAACTGCATGTTGAAATGTCTACTTTTAGACCACTCCAAAAACTTTCTAATAACGCGAACGTAGGCTTTAGTAGTTGTATCCGCCCTGGACCTCAACATAACTTCTAAAACCTCATAAACGTTGATTGAAGAAAATTGTTGAGAGCCTTTCCAGGAATTACTTGATAAGATTACCTGGAAAGACAAGAACAAAGCATATATACTAAAACAACAAAAAAGAACATCCTTTAATAACCGTACAAAGATCGACCATTGTTGGGGCCAGTGTCACATAAGACGATAGACCATTGTATGGGCCAGTGCCCCGTAAATCAAAAACCATTGATTGGGCCAGCGCCACATAAATGAACTATACGCTGTTTAGGACAGCGCCACATGCAATGATAGACTATTAATTAGGCCAGTGCCGCATATATAAACAAGACGTTGCTTTGGCCAGCGCCACCAAATGTAAATAATCATTAGGCTAATGGACACACCGTCCAATGGATTACTCAGTAAATTTCAATCCAGAGGCAATAATATTTCTTATCATATATCAGACCCAAAGAGCAAATTAAGGTTTCTTCCGCGGGTTAGAACCTCATTGCTGATATGAATAATGTGAGCCACAAGATAACTGCTATACTTGTGTGTAATTAAAGGCCAGAAATGAGCCGATGGCCAAAGAGGTACAACGAGCGTACCAACGGCCTGCTGATATTTCAAATAATGCAATACGCGTGGGACGATACCAACTGGAGGGACTACTATGCAATTTTCTCCTCGAAGAGACTGAAAGAAAAATTCAACACCCGAAGTGTTCGGGTTCCAAAACCTCGAAAATATTTGGGGAGCTTGTGATTATAATAATTAGCAAAACAATCAACACTATGCGGGCCCCACCTGCCATCGAAAAAAAGAAAAAATTCTTCAATAACTTGTCAATCATCAGTATCAATTAAACGACTTATAAAATAAGCTTGCTGATTCGAAGTGCGAGGGATCCATTGCACTTCTAAATGAATCCCCGATCGAATACAAATATCAAAAATCCTTCGGGCCATCTTATGCAAAACTAATTTCATGCTGCCCACTTCAACAATCTTAGCAGCTACTTGGCTATCAGTAAACCACCTAACGTGTAATCCTTCCAACATTGAGACAAATGATTGCAATGAAAGCTCAATAACAGACAACTCCTTCCACGTTGAACTTTGAACTCTCTCGTTCTGCGAACACATTTTGTGGCACCCAAAATCATTGTTAAAGTCAATAATTACTCCACCTCCGGCAGCAGTGGCATCCGAATATACAAAATAACTATGATCCTACTTACAAAGCAATACCTAGTGTTGATATTAACCATATTTTCCTTCCAAAAATACAGTTCTAATCTTTGCAGTAATCGTCAAGATGGAATATAGAATCCCAGTTATCTTTGCACAAGGTGGACAAGACACAATGTCTGGTCATTATCCTGCCAATGTTACCAACTACAGGCCCGGTAGAAATAATTTGACCTGTGAAGGAGGCCAAAACTTTGAAATCGTCTTCAATAATATGATCAATTGTACCATTGATGATCTTAACAATTCTTCTTTCTACAATTTTTAAAGTACCCAGTGCAGAATTCCGGGTTATGCTCAACCAGTCCAATACTTGGGTGGGTTCCCATACCGATTTGTCTTCGTTGACAACAAAACCCGCGTTATACAAATCCTCGCTCACAGCTTGGGCCTTAATGAGACAACCTTCCCTCTCCTGAACAATCGCCCAACCATCGTCCAAGAAGATGGCTATACGAAGACCCTGTATTCTCCAATACTTTTCTAAAGGCTTCAAAACCTTTGTGAAAACATAAGGGGCAGAGGAAAGACCGAACGGGAGCGCAGAGAAAACACAAAATACCTTATTGATGGAATCAGGCGCCCGCCATTTAACACCAGAAATGTTTGGTGCTCTTTCGCAATCTCGATATGGTGATAACCGCTTTTAAATCAAAGGAAAACATGCGTGTACGCGTCTTTCGCAAAATAAGACATAGCAATTTTACAGTCCTCGTACTTAACACTTTGCTTAATAAATGACTTATTGACATGGCGCAAATCAAGAATTAAGCTCTTCTTACCGCATGGCTGTATAGAAACTGACAAGGAATTTACAACAAAAGGCTGCTCATTAACCATACGCACCCGACCAGAGTTAACAAGCTCAGGGACAGCTTGGTCCACAAAACCAGCATGAAGTCGAGCTGATTTATTATTTATTTAGTTTTACGGCCAACGAAAACTGATGAACGGCAGACTGTAGCCGTTTTCAATAACAGACAAAATAAAATCCGGAGCAGCTATAGATCTCCAGAAACCTAAATTATTCTTCAAATTACTCTTAACACTTAATGAATGTCCACTTTTAAGTTCGTAATCCTGTGCAATTTGATCTATCTTCCCCAAGTCATCTTCAATGCTTTGGCTAAATTGATTGGCCTGCGGTTGGCTTGTTGTAGAAGATTCCAGGGCAAGAACTGTATCTAGGGGACTGGTAGCTTCCCGACCAGAACATGGATCTACAGTCCTTGGCCCAGTGTCCAAATTTGCCGCATTTGAAACAGCGAAAGAAGTCGCCAGAAGCGTCTCTATGGCCTGAAAGATAAAAGCAACGACGAAACCTGTAGTAAACGGGAGGGGGGAAGGGGGGAACCAGAATGATAAATTAACTGTATGGAACCGCGAGCGTGAATGGTAATCAAGAGACAGCGGAGAATATAAGTACTAATGATAATAGTGGGTGCGGCAGGTGCGAAACGAAAACAACTGCGACTAATTACTTGGAATAACAGCGGGAGATACATTAACGTTCTAATTCGCTTCGCTCAAACTAACGTAAATCATTTTACCCTTAAATTCCCGTAATACAAACAAATCACACGAGAAATATGGTAGGCTGCGCAAGCGGATCCAAAACACATATGAATATACAAAGTAAGAGGAGGCTCTTTTTCTTACCACGAAAAAGCTGATTATCAGCGCCCAAAGCAATTCTTGGTTTCTTTCCACGATCACTGGAGAGTTGTTTGACGTCTCTTGCGGCTCGCCGCTTCTCTTGCCTTCTTAAGGACGCTGCACACTAATGGAAAGTATTTTTCCCAGATAATGACTATGTGAGACAAGTAGATCATATCAGCAGCTATTGAAATCCAAAAAGAAAACTGGGGGTAACCACGCATTTTTCAGAGACAACTGCGCTTCAATATGGAGAAAAACGCTGAAGAGGCATTTTTTAGAAAAAATGATAGAAAGTTATTTTTTTTCCCCAATTTTTTTTTGAGTGTACATGCAAATTGGCACAAATGCAATGATAATTGTAACAAGATTTCAAAATAAGCAACAAATGATAACATAACAACTGCTCTTTATAGGTCTTTTTTTGAAATATCACCACAGCTAGGAAGTTATCAGTAGTTACCCCTCTCCACGCGTTTGCCTTAAAAATAGTGTAAACGACATTTTCCCCGAACCAAAAATTGATCGTTTGCTGAGCAGGCTTATTACTTTCATTTGGTAAGATAAACAAAAGTACGGGTTACCACGCGTTTTTAGAAGTTAAATTGGTTGGTTTTGACCTTAACTTAATCGCTTTGGGGGTTATTTACAATTTTCCCATCCCTTTAGTCAGTCGGTCAGTTTCACTATTGCTTCACTCAACGCGGAGTACTCTGGGATATCCACAATGGCTGACAGTCAGAGAGAGCAACAACCCACGAAGGAGAGCAAAAACAGAAAGTGAAACAGGACATTTCATGGACTCTAAGGAAAACGAATTATAGTATTTCATTCAACTGGAGCTTCTCTGTCTCAAAAATTTAACAAAAATTTTTGGAGAAGAGCAATCTCCAAGGTATTAATGATTACTTCCAGCGCACATAGAATAGTATATGGCGAGCGAAAGATCCAAGGCTGGTGCTGTAAACAAACTACTGTACTGAAGTGGAAAATAGTCGACAGGGACTCTTAGACAGGTACTCCTTCAATCGTTTGCTTACCTGTACATGTCCTCAAGATTTTTTGAACTGTAGATGTAATATGATTGTAAACCTTCTATCTTTTTTTTTTTATTTTCCCAGGTACCTCAATCGAATATGTTATTAAACTTGCATACATTCAATGAGCTTATATCTGTGCTTTGCGCTATCTCTTTTAGGCTTTGCCACAAGTGTCATATGACATAAATGATTTGCATAGACTCAAGTTCCATACATGAGCTCTTTTTTAAAAAAGCTGAACACTGCGAAAGTAGTTGTCCCGAATGCGTTTATGTACCCTCATATGGGCTACAATGATCATTTTTCTTTTTTTTTTTACTGTAGCATTCTGTGTCATGATCATTCATTATTTTTCGATCCTAAATGTTAATTTTCGTTTTCCTTTGCGGTCCGCAACTTTTTGTGAAGCTGCCATATCAGCAATCCAAGCAATCTTGTGATAGTTTTTTCTTGTTTGTTCAGCAAATAAAAACCTCGGACTCTCAATAAAAGGGACATCTGCATGTACTCGACCGCTTTAAATCTATCTTCTGGTGAATAATAACATAAAATCTTACAAAATTAAAGAAATATTTGGGAAAGTGTTTATAGCCGATTAGCCGATAAAACGCGAAGGACGCGAGTGCAGAAAGGTAAGCTTGCAGTTTCTCGATTAAGCAGAGGACTTAGAGCGGTTTTCCTTCTGATTTACTGATCCTTGCCTATTAAGGGATTTTTTGAGCAGGGTTTGGAACGTTCCTTACAATCCCAGGCCCCCCATTACAGGCCCCGTACAATATCAGTCCCCCCATATCAGGAAAATACCCCTCAAAACTTAAATTGTCCAAAAGAACTCCAATATTCAAGATTGGCGAAGATAATGATGCGAATAACTACAGGCCTATATCCTTATTATCTAACTTTAACAGAATTTTTGAAAAGATCATGTACAACAGAATGAAAGGTTATATTGACAAACATAACTTATTGTATTCCTCCCAGTACGGTTTTCGTAAAGGTCACTCGACTCAACATGCAATATTAGACATTGTAAACGCAATACAAACTAATATGAATCAAGGTCTTTTCTCGTGCGGAGTCTTCATAGACCTCAAGAAAGC